CACATACCCATTCAGCCACATACCCATTCAGCCACATACCCCATTCAGCCACATACCCCATTCAGCCACATACCCATTCAGCACATACCCATTCAGCCACATACCCATTCAGCCACATACCCATTCAGCCACCTACCATCAGCCACATACCCATTCAGCCACATACCCATTCAGCCACATACCCATTCAGCCACATACCCATTCAGCCACATACCCATTCAGCCACATACCCATTCAGCCACATACCCATTCAGTCACATACCCATTCAGCCACATACCCATTCAGCCACATACCCATTCAGCCACATACCCACTCAAAGACCCACACACCTTGCTAACCACTTACCCACGCACCCACCTACACACCCACTCACTGACTCACTCACTCAACAATTCATTCACCCATCCACTCACCATTTCACTCCCCCAATCATACACCCACCATCCACCCACTCTATCTCTAACTCACACACTCAGCAGTCCACCCACTCACCCAGCCACTTACCTACTCACCCACTCACCCTGCCACCTACTCGACCTGCAACAGACCTACCGACCCAACGAGCCACCTACCCCCTAAACTAAACTACTTTTTATTTCACCAGGTAAGGCCCATTGAGCTATATAGATCCTTTTCAGAATAGACCAGTGAACAAATTATAGATAAACGAAGTGGCTTATCACATAGACATTTATTGCAGCCAAATCCTCTAAATGCATGTTGATTCTAAATGCAGAGGGGAAAACCCGAAGGACCTGCAGCAAAATCCACGCGACCATGTGTAGAACATGCAAACTCCAAATATACAGGCGACAGGGTCGGGATCGAATCCACAATCTCCTGTATACTAGGTGAGGCAGTGAACATCTCACCACCTTGGCGCCTCACTCTCTGACTCACCCATCCACTCACTCACACACTATCTTACCCACTCAACCTCCCACATCAACTCACCCACCCACTCGCTGACCCCACTCAGTCAACAACTCACCCATCCACCCAACCACTCACTCAGTTAACCACTTTCTCACCCACCCACTCACCCTATGACCACTCACCAAGCTACACACTCACCTACCAACACACCCATTCACTCACTTGCTCACCCACCCACTTACTCACCCAACCACTAACTGACCCACTCACCCACCCACAAACTCACGAACAAAAAACACACCCACTCAACCCATTGCTCACCCAACCCCTCACTCACCCACTTACTGAATCACCCACCCACGCACTCACCGACCCACCAACTCACTTCACCCACCCAATACTCCCTCACCGAGCCACTCAATCTCTAACCCACCCACTCACCCAACCACCCACTCACCCAACCACCCACTCAATCTCTAAACCACACACCAACCCTGCTACTGACTCAATCTCTTAACCAAAGCTCACAAACCCACCCATCCACTCACTCACCCAGTGACTAACCCACTCCCTCAATTTCTAACCCACCCATTCACGCACTACCCAACTAACCTCCTACCTTCTTGGTTCTTTCGGTAAAGTCACGTAGAAGGGAAGTAATAAAATAATAAAAATAAAACATAATAAAACAATTCTCACGACGTTTCGGCCACAACGCAAGCAGCCGTCCTCAGGTGAAGAATGAGACAATGCCAAGCTAGGAGCTTATATATAAGCTGCGTTGGAGGTGGAAGAAAGAGCGCCTTAACAAAAGAATGTGCATATGAAGAGGAATTTAGCATATACATGGAAAATGCGTAGGAGGTGGGCGGGGGGGTTTCAAAGTCATATTATGCCCATGCATTATGCAGGATCAACAGCACCAAGGGGGGGTGCAGGGATTAGCAGTAACAAAGGAAAGGAATGTTAATGATATGTAGCTGCAGTTACTCAACAACCACGTAGAAAACTAAAGTATAAACTACATAAAAAACTAAAGTATAAATTGCATAGCACCATCAGTATACTTACTATACTCTACACTAAGCTGAGTTACTAACAACAAGTAATACATTTAGTACTTGTTGTTAGTAACTCAGCTTAGTGTAGAGTATAGTAAGTATACTAAGTATACTGATGGTGCTATGCAATTTATACTTTAGTTTTTTATGTAGTTTATACTTTAGTTTTCTACGTGGTTGTTGAGTAACTGCAGCTACATATCATTAACATTCCTTTCCTTTGTTACTGCTAATCCCTGCACCCCCCCTTGGTGCTGTTGATCCTGCATAATGCATGGGCATAATATGACTTTGAAACCCCCCCCGCCCACCTCCTACGCATTTTCCATGTATATGCTAAATTCCTCTTCATATGCACATTCTTTTGTTAAGGCGCTCTTTCTTCCACCTCCAACGCAGCTTATATATAAGCTCCTAGCTTGGCATTGTCTCATTCTTCACCTGAGGACGGCTGCTTGCGTTGTGGCCGAAACGTCGTGAGAATTGTTTTATTATGTTTTATTTTTATTATTTTATTACTTCCCTTCTACGTGACTTTACCGAAAGAACCAAGAAGATGAATCCCTGCAGTCACGAAAGCTTTAAATCGAAATTTAACCTCCTACCCACACACACTCACCCACCCACACATCCATGCACCCACACACTCACCCACTCACTCATCCATCCACTCACTAACTCACCCAGCCATGCACCTACTCACTCACCCACTTTCAGATCCACTCACCCTGCCACCTACTCAATTTATAACCCACCTACTCACCCACCCACCGAGCCAACCACCTCAGCCACTCAGCCACTCACCCACTACCAACGTAATTATTAACCCACCCACTAATTTAATCACCTACTAACGTAACCACCCACAAACTCAACCACTGAGTCACTCGAACTTACCTACTCACCAAGCCACCCACTAATTCTCAAACCCACACTGATGCACTCACCCACCCGCCCACTCACCAACACCCTTAACTAAATCAAACATTTTTTTCCCCAGGTAATGCCCACTGAGCTATATAGATTGTTTTGAGAAGCAGGGTTTGGATCGAACCTACGAACTTAAAAATACCAGGCAAGATAGTTAACAATTTGCCAACATGGCACTCCACTCTCTGACTCTCCCACCCACGATAACACACACTCAAACACCCACCCACTAACTCAACCATCCATTCATTCAACCACCGAGCCAAGCACACACTCACCCACTCACCCAGCCACTGACCTACTACCCATCAAACATCGCACTCACTCATCCACTCACCCACCCAGCCACTCATCTGCACACTAAATAAAAATTAAGCTTTTTTTATTTTACCAGGTAAGGCACTCAGCTATATAGATATTTTTCAAAAACCACTTGACCACAAATATCAACTCAATTCAGTGGCTTTTCACGTATAAAGTTATAGCAGCCAAATTCTATAATTGCATGTTTTTAAATGTGGAGGGAGAACCCGGAGCACCTGGAGAAAATTCCACGCGACAAGGCGTCAGGGTCGGGATCGAATTTACGACCTCCTGTACAAAAGGCGAGGTAGTTAACAGCTCGCCACCACGGCACTCCACCCACTCACCCATTCAAACACCCACCAACCCACCTCACAAACCCACTCACCCTGCCACCCACTCAATCTCTAATCCACTCACTCAACAATTTACTCACCCACTCACCTACTCAACTAATCACACCCCCACTCACACACCCACCCATTCACCCGCTCAATCTCTAACCTACCCACCAAATCACTCAATAACCCACCTACCCACTCACCCACCCAATAAACTAAATTAAACAATATTTTTTTAATTTTACCAGAAAAGGTTCAGATCAGAGGTACGGGTACCCGTTCCCTACCCGTACCCTACCCGAAATGAGTGACAAACGGTTACTCACCAGTGACTCACGGCCTATCCGTACCCGTACCCGGCCGCCCAGGGTCGCAAACGGCTACCCGTACCGTACCCGGCCGGGTACGGGTAGCCGGGTATCGGGTAGGGTACGGGTATCGGGTACCCGGTTGCGACCTCTGGTTCAAATAACTAAATTAATATTTTTCAGAAGTGGCCTGGTTACAAATGATAGGATAACGAAATGGATTATCATGGAGACATTTATTGCAGCCACATCCTCTAAATGCATGTTGATTTTAAATATGGAGAGAAAACCTGGAGGACCCGGAGAAAAATCCACACGACCACAGGGAGAACATGCCAACTCCAAATATACAGGTGGAAGGGATGGGATCGAATACACAAAATCCTGTATACTAGGCGAGGTAGTTAACATGTCGCTACCGTGGTGCCTCACTCTTTGATTCACCCACGCACCCAATCACACACTAACAACTCACCTGCTCAACCTTCGATATTCACTCACCCACCCACTAACTGACTCACCCACCCACTCACCCAACAATCTACTCACCCGCCCACTAACCTATTCACTCAACCCCTCACTCACCCACTCCCCCACACAATATCGCACTGACCTACCCACGCACTCACTCACACAGTCACTCACTAATTCACCCACCCACCACCCACTCACCTATTCACCCACCTACTCAACCATCCACCCACTCATGCTCCCATACACTCACTTACTTATCCAGGCACTCATCTACTCACCCACCGACTGAATCACCCATTAAGCCACTCACCCACTCACCCTCCCAATCACCTAGTTACCCACCCACTCAATCTCTAACCCACCAATTTTCTCATCCACTCACCAACCCACCTCTCACCCACTCCCTCACCTAATCAATCACTTCAAACCATTCACTCACCCACCCACCCACTAATTCACACAATCACCCACCACCCACTCAATCTCTAACCCACACCCACCTACTCACTCACCCAACGACTCACTCAACAATCCACTCCTCCACACACTCATCTATTCACTCACATTCAACACACCCACTTCTCTAACACACTCACTCACCTACTCCCTCAACCACTGACCCACCCACTCACCCACCGACTCACCCACCGACTCATCCACTAACTCACTCACAGACCCACTCAGTTAATTACTGTGTAGTCCTCACCTCTTCCAGTATTGTGAGATATTCTTCCTCCCAGCGGTATCTTCACGACAACGCCCTGGGGGGTGGCCAACCTCTCAACGAGTCGGGCGAGCGGGGCAACAGCCTGGTCATGTTGGGTTCATAGCGCAGTGCAGCACACGCATACACACAAGCAGACCACACACATATGAACACAATAACAACAGTGGGAGCCACTTACGCGATAGGGATGGGCCGCATGGTCCACTCCAGCTCGATGTACGGCTTGCCCGGATACAATGTTAACTACCTCGTCTGGTATACAGGAGGTTGTCGGTTAGATCCCAACCCTGACACCTGTATATTTGGAGTTTGCATGTTCTCTCCGTGGTCAAGTGGATTTTTATTCTGGTCCTCTGGATTTTCCTTACACATTTAGAAACAGGCGTTTAGAGTAGTTGGCTGCTATAAATTTCCACATGAGGCACGTTTTGACCTATCATTTGTGGCCAGGTCACTTCTTAAAAAAGAGTTATGTTACTCAGTGAGATGGTTGAGACACAGGCGATGAGCCTGTGTGTAAGGGGTTGAGTGAGTGAGCGGTTTAATTCATGATTGAGTGACTGATTGGTTGAGTGAGTGGCTGAGTGAGTGATTTATGGAGCGATTGGTTCAGTGAGCGAGTGTGTGGTTGAGTGAGTGGTTCAGTGAGTGAGTGGTTGAGTGAATTAGTGAGTGGTTGAATGAGTATTTGAATGAGTGAGTGTTTGAACCAATGAGTGAGTGTTTGAGCACATGAGTGTGTGGTTGAGTGAGTGGTTGAGTTAATGACTGAGTGAGTGATTGATTGAGTGGTTGAGTAAGTGGATGGTTGAGTGAATGGTTGAGTGAGTGGTTGAGTGAGTGGTTGAGTGAGTGAGTAGTTGAGTGAGTGGTTTAAGTTAGTGGATGAGTGAGTGAGTGGTTGTATGAGTGGCTGAGTTAGTGGATGAGTGAGTGGCTGGCGCGCACCTTGGCTGCGTTGTCCAGAGTGTCCCGCTGGTGCCACCCCACTGTGTTGCTGCACTCCGCCAGGGTGAGAGCGGCGGTGCCGCGCCCGCAGCTGCTCCAGCGACTACGCCATCTTGCCCAGCCCCTCCTGGCGAGCACACAGCATGCCCTGGAGCTCCCATCACATGGTGCTGGCAATCTGAGACACCCGCCTGTAGCACACACACAGAAAAAGAGATACGGGAATGGATTAGGGCAACCCGGGTGACGAGTTCACTACTTCGCCCGGTATACAGGAGGTTGTAGGTTTGATCCAAATCCTGATGCTTACATATTCAATTCTGCTCGTCCAGGCAGGGAGAATCCAATCACAATTATTCGATGCGATGTTTCTCATGGGATACAATAAGCGACAACATTTGGACCCCAAACCAAGAGGATTCTGGGATGTTTGTGGTTTTTTGGCAATAACTCTGGAAAGAAATGTCGCAGACCCATCAAGGTGGGACTCGTCCAGCGACATAATGGTTGAGTGACTGGTTGAATGAATTCGGGAACGGTTGAATGAGTGAGTGGTTGAGTGAGTGGTTCAGTCAGTTAGTGGTTGAGGGAGTGAGTGGCTGAGTGAGCGAGTGGTTGAGTGATTGAGATAGAGTGACTGAGCGGCTGAGCGGTTAAGTTAGTGAGTCGTTGAGTGAGTGTGGCTGATTGAGTGAATTGTTGAGTGAGTTAAAGAGTGATGGTTGAGTGGTTGAGTAAGTGAATAAGTGAGTGAGTGGTTGAGTGAGTAAGTAGCTTCGTGAGTAAGTAGCTTCGTGAGTGCGCGGCTGAGTGGTTGAGTGTGTGGCTGAGTGAGTGGCTAAATGAGTGAGTGGCTGAGTGAAAGGGTGAGTGGCTGAGTGAAGGAGTGAGTGGCTGAGTGAGTGAGAAAGTAATTGGTTGAGTGGTTGAGTAAGTCATTAAGTGAGTGAGTGGTTGCTCTAGTGAGTGGTTAAGTGAATGGTTAAGTGAGTGGTTAAGTCAGTGGTTAAGTGAGTCCCCAAGCCGAGAGGATTCTGGTGAGTCTTTGAGTGAGTGGTTTGGTGAGGGTTGAGTGAAAGGTTGAGTGAGGGGTTGAGTGAGTGAGTGGTAGAGTTAGTCGTTGAGCGAGTGGTTGGGTGAGTGGTTGAGTGAGCGAGTGCTTGAGTGAGCAAGTGAGTGGTTGAGTGAGCAAGCGAGTGGTTGAGTGAGTGAATGGTTGAGTGAGCGAGCGGTTGAATGAGTGAGTGGTTTAGTGAGTGGTTGAGTGACTGAGTGAGTGGGTGGCTGAGTGAGTGGCTGAGTGAGTGAATGGTTGAGTGAGTGAGAGCGTGATGGTTGAGTGATTGAGTGAGTGGGTGGTTGAATGATTGGTTGAGTGGTTGAGTTAATAATTGAGTGAGTGGTTGAGTGAGTGAATATCTGAGTGAGTGAGCGGCTGAGTAGTTGAGTGAGTCGTTGAGTGAGTGGGTGGCTGAGTGAGTTTGTGGCTGAGTGAGTGAATGGCTGAATGAATCACAGCTATGATAAAAATGGACATCAGCATATAAGTGGTCTTGTATTCACTCAGTAAATGAAGTTTAATATAAAATTGTACACTCACAGGATCGAAATAAAGATGACATTGCATATCGGAGTAAACCGAGTCGCGGCTATGATGAAATTTTGCATTAGCATAACATTGATTTATTAGCATACAAAATGACTTTTTGCAGAGCGATTTAATACAAAAGTCTGATAGACTACATGCATTTTTTTTAAAATAAAAAGTACATACAAACCAGGCATCAATACCGTTGCTTTGTATGATCTGTGAAACGCAGAAATTTTCAGATAAAATCGGACATTTTGAGCTTGCTGCTGTATCGACTGAGTGGAATCAATACAATTAGTATCGATTCACAATCAGCAAAGACCATATATGGGAAAATCTCTGATCGGTGATTTTGATTGCATCGTATTGCAGCGCCCCTTTGATGTTATAAAGCACTTGCCCCAACAGTCTGTTAAAGGCTATACGGGGATCTTTGTGTGCGAGTAACTCACAGATCCTTGAGAGATCTCAACACTGTCCGATCATCAGCGAGCTCCTCCGGCAGGCGAGGCTGCGTTGGCGGTTGTCTGTGCATTAAGAGGTGTTAACTATCCCACGCAGAGAAGTCTGCTTACAGGACATAACAGGTTCTTCACGTACCGTGCACCGGTCACCTGAATGTTAAATGGGGCTCCGGTAATTCAGTATCCACCGCCGAATCATCTTTCACCATCACCACGCGTCCATTAAGAGCCAATGTGACGAGGCCATAGATAGACGCCGCGTTAAAACGGGGGGGGGGGGGGAGCAAGAAAAAACGTCGTACTACGTGACATCACAACACCCTGCACACAGCCATAGTGGCTGATAATGGGGCGCATCATTTACGAATATGTGGTTTAAGTGGTTGAGAGTAGATTTTGGTGTAAATTGATCACGATGCTTTGCGTAGCCTGCATTTAAAATTTCATGCGTAGGTGCGAGAGCAGATATGAGTGGGTGAGTGCGTGAGTAAGCCGGTAAGTGAGTATGTGGGTGGATGGAGGGAGCTGGGCGGGCACGCATTGGCTGGAGTGGAGGTGGACTGATGCGGTACGGGAGGATGTGGAGCTGAGTGGGCTTTGCCGACGACTGGTACCAGTGGTGTCGAGATCGGCCTCTGCGGGGAGGCTCGTGAAGGATGCTTCTACTTGCAGTTGGCGACAATCGCCCTCCAACAACAACGGAGGAGTGACACTCACAACAACGAGCGGAACACCGGATGATAAATATGCAGCAATTTGGCACAGTACGGGGTACAGGTGGTGCTGCCAGTCATCTCAGTCAGACCAACCCATGGCACCTGGGCTGTTCCAGGACCTCCGGTCAGCCAGCCTTCGACACTTCACGTGACTTCAAAGTGCACCTGGCCTGGCACAGGCGCTGTGGTAACGTCCATTGTCACTATTGGCGAATGGTGACGGTTGATAATGCAGCGGTGGTTGTGAGAGATGACATTTTGGGGGGGGGGGGGGGGCGCCAACCCTGACCAGCTGTGAACCTCACGTCGCCCGCAGCCACCAGTGGCCACAGGGAGTTCTGGATGGGTGCGAGGGGCTGGTAACCCCCCTCCGACCTTCAACTAAATCACCACACATTCACGTGCGAGCCTTGGGTCTCCTTGTGAGTCGATGGATCTCTGTGTGTGAGTCTATGGGTCTCTGTGATAGTCCGTGGGTCTCTGTGGGTGAGTCTATGTGTCCTGTGTGGTGAGTTTATGTGTCTCTGTTTGTGAGTCTATAGGGCTCTGTGCGAGTCTGTTTTTGAGTCGGTGGTTCTCTGTGTGATGAGTCTATGCGTTTTTGTATAACTCTATGGGTATCTGTGGGGTGAGTCTATGAGTCTCTGTGGGGTGAGTCTATGCGTCTCTGTCTGATGAGTCTATGGGTCTCTGTGGTGAGTCTATGGGGCTCTGTGGTGAGTCCGTGTGTTTGTGTGGTGAGTCTATAGACCTCTGTGCGAGTCTGTGGGTGTGTTTGAGTCTGTGGTTCTGTGTGATGAGTCTATGCGCTTTTGTGTAGGTCTATGGGTCTCTGTGTGGTAATTAGATGGGTATGTTGGCGAGT